GAAATGTGAGGTACTTGTACATCAAATGAGTATTTCCACATGATGCTACTTTATACTTGTACCACACTACATGACTGTATGCAGGCCTTTTACTGTACTACTTTAGTCACTAGCAATAGCAGATTTATGTTATTAATAAAAACATATAATGAACTTATAAATCACTGACTTACACGTATTTGTACATAGGTAGAAATGTGAAATACTTCTACATCAAATACTTATTTTTCTATATTATGCTCCTTAATTTGTCCAGGCAATTGTACTTTATGTACTGACAAATGTGAGGTATTTGTACAACAACTATTTTATCCCACTGCATTGTGAAGGCAAATGTTGTCCTTTTTAATGTATAACGACTATTTTACAGCTCTAGATACTTTAGAAGATTTAGGTATATAATCTTAGTTGGTAGAAATGTAAATTACTTGTACATATATTTGTTTTTAAACTGTGTGTATTAAACATATATGTATTGCATCACATCATGTCTTTTCATGTGTACAAAGTAGCTAGTAACTATGATTGTTTAATACATAAATGGAGATACTTGCCTCCAAAATGTACTGGAGTAAAAGTATGTGTAGCATTAAATAGACATACTCAAGAAAAGTACCTGTATCTAAAAATAGCACTTACAGTAAGTACAACAATTGAGTGAAGGTGTTTCACAACTGCATTTTAGGTACTTTTAAGTATATTTTAAACACAATACTTGTTGTACTTTTCATTGAGTGTGATTTTAATAATGAATTTTAACTTTTTAACAGAGTATTATTACACTGCTACTTTGACTTATGATAAATATCTTAGTATTTCTTCCACCTCTGCCAAAGAGTCTTAAACTAAATGGCTCTTTTCTCTTTCGTCTATTTCTTTCTGTTCTTTCTTGACTTTCCATCTGCAGTATGCCGGAGTGTGTGCTGCATGTTCCTGCATGCTGTGGCCTGCTCCATCCAACACCCTCATTTTAAATCAGCGCTGTCAAACACATGCCTAAAGATCCTCACACACACACACACACACTCACACACACACACACAACACACACACACACACACACACACACACACACACACACACACACTCACACACACACACACACACACACACACACACACACAGCAGCCCCTTTCAAACAGCCATAGCTCTGCGGACGTTGAGAAAACTGTGACTTGAAGTTGTTCCAACCCTAACCCTAACCCTAACCCTAACCCTAACCCTAACCCTAACCCCAACCTAGGTGACATTTCTTTAAAATAACCCAAAATCTGGACCCTGGGGCTACAAGTTCCCCATCATGCATCAGCTCGTGGTTCAACACCTGAAGGCGTCTTAAGTTATAATAAATGTAGAAAAACAGATAATGGCGTACCCATCTCCCACGACCACACACTTGATAGCCTGCATCCTGTTCCGCTGCGTCTGTGCTCTTCACTGTGAGAGCAAGAGGAGGAAGACTCAGCGACTACAGGAAGCTGTTACACACCTCCCTCACACCCCTCCCTCTGCTGCCTCAGTTCCTTCATGTCTGCACCTCGTCTTCCGCCTCTGCTGTTTCTCTCTTCTTCTAAAAAGTACAACTTATGCAAGCAGTGTGCAATTCATACGTGTGATAACGTGTTGAATGCAAAGAGAGAAAGACACTGTCGCCAGTGGAGAAATGTGAAATGACTGAGCGTCAAGAGTTTAGAAAGGAGGAAGATGAGGCAGAAATAACCCGCTGTTTATTTAAAACTTCCTCTTTTTTGTCCAGGCAGATTTGCAATCATGTATGCAAACACACCCTCACCAAAATGAACTACTAAAATAAACACACACACACACACACACACACACACACACACACACACACACACACACACACACACACACACACACACACACACACACACACACACACACACACACACATGATTAAAGAAATACACACAAATCTCCAATAACTCATGATAATAAACTAAGAGCTCTATATTTGTGTGTGATATCCCCTTTAGTCCACTAGATGGCCCTTCAGCATAATTCTTCTCATTCATCATCATCGTCTACATTTGAAACATGCCAGCAGAACAGCTGTTGGTTCAACTATTAGAAATATTCACACGTGTGTCTCACTCAAGTCTTCCACAGTAGAACAAAGTAGATGCATTTGTTGGATCAAAAATGAGAAACTCAGCCGTCCATTTGTGATCGTCTTAAAATGTACACTGTCGTTTTCCTAAATCTTTCCATAGTATGAACAGTTTGAATAGTTTGCGTAAAATGTCCTCAATATATGGAAGGATATGTTTTTAGTAAGATTGACTTTAACATTAAGTAAATCTGATTCCACATCAATAACAGTTATCCGTTCATCTCGATAAAGCCAAAGAGCTTTTACTTTATCCTGAACAAAACCAACGCTAACCACTCAAAACATGTTGTATTTATTTTTAAATCAGCCCGAGTTCGTACAATAAAACAGGACCACTCTTGTTTTACCTAACCCTAAGCCTAACGACATCTTCAAAATAAAAGTTAGCAAAACAGGTCATATAACGCAAAATGACAAATCTGTTTAAAATCAGCAAGTAGTGATAGGTTAACTTCAAACAACTTTAGAGCTTAACCATATTATGACATTTTGGCCTTTCAAAACTAACATCTTTTTGCCATTGAGCGTCAGTGTCGAACCAAAATGTCTGCAAAATGTTATATATTCAAAAAGCAAATACAAACGTTGACTGCTTTTTTTTAAAGTTCCATTTGTTTTAGTCTTATTGTTGGTCACAAGTCAACATTACATTCACAGAGGTCTTAAACCCCAAATTCAATGCTGAAAGGACCACAAACCCTCCTTGATTGACTATTATCTTCAATAAGGCTTTTATTTTGAAGGATGTTGTCATTCCTTCTGTCTTTCTGCATTCAGTGAAGCTTTTATTTTGGAGGATTGTTTTACTTTATTCTGTCTTTATACATTCAGAAAAGCTTTTATTGTGAAGGATGTTGTCATACCTTCTGTCTTTATGCACTATACATTCAGAAAAGCTTTTATTGTGAAGGATTTTGTCATTCTTTCTTACTTTATGCATTCAGTGAAACTTTTATTGTGAAGGATGTTTTCATTCTTTCTGTCTTTATACATTCAGTAACACATGTATTGTGAAGGATGCACAATACATGTTGTCATTATTTCTGTCTTTATGCATTCAGTGAAGCTTTTATTTTGGAGGATTGTTTTACTTTATTCTGTCTTTATACATTCAGAAAAGCTTTTATTGTGAAGGATCTTGTCATTCTTTCTTACTTTATGCATTCAGTGAAGCTTTTATTGTGAAGGATGTTTTCATTATTTCTGTCTTTATATATTCAGTAACACATGTATTGTGAAGGATGCACAATACATGTTGTCATTCTTTCTGTCTTTATGCACTATACATTCAGTAAAGCTTTTATTTTGTAGGACTTTGTCATACTTTCTGTCTTTATTCAGTAAAGGTTTTATTTTGGAGGATGTTGTCATTCCTTCTGTCTTTATACATTCAGTAAAGCTTTTATTTTGTAGGATGTTGTCGCTCTCTCTGTCTTTATGCAGAAGTAGGCCTGACTCGCTGAAGGATGGGAAAGAGGTGGGGTTAAAAACAACATCTGCTTCATTCAAGTGTTACTGCACGGTGCCGTGGTGGTCGTGGTCTACATATCGAAATATCTCAACATAACTTTATGCAACTGTTTTGGTTTTGCCAATGTTTGCTTTCTTCTTGGATATAAATGACTGATTGCCAAATGGGTAAGAACTGATTTCCATTTCTTGATGCTGGTTTTCATATTCAACACTTTATGTAAGATATTCTCATTTGACTTTAAACCCTGTGTTGGGGTTAGGGTTCAATTCATGATCCAAAGGAAGTGTTTGTATATTATTTCAAGTAGAGGCATTATGACACTGTTATGTTTTAATTGAGTCCTTCTCATAACGAGGCATTCAGCTATCCTGTCAATGTACTTTATAATTGTAATAAAAGAGCTCTACTTTGTGGTTCAATGTCCAGCTGTTTCCATCTCACTCTCTGGTTTGGTAACGGCTGATATAGGAAGACATTACATATGCATTGCTTTCTTTCTTTAGTAGGCTATGGGTGCACCTTTGAAAACAGATGATTGTTTATTAAGTTATGTTATTGTCTAACGTTCATCATCTAACCCCCGGTTGTGAAACGCTGCTCAGGGCGGACAGCTGAAAAAGGGAAGAGGCAGTCACACCACAGCGCTGATAGTCATAAAAACAGAAGTTGCTATCTTGATTTAGACATGTAGAGCATCCATCTTTAAAGGCTCTTTACCTTATTACATCCACAGTTACATTTCTGTTGAAGATGAAATGAAGAGTTGAATGTGTTGCAAGGTGCGTTAAGGAAGGGTGGGGAAGTGCACTGAGATCTCTACAGGAAGTGCTATTTTCATACACTTAAAAGCTTGTGAGGCCAAACCAATGGGGGCGGAGACAACCCCCCCTCAGGTCTACTTTCATTGGTTGCCTACCGAAAAACAATGCTATGATTATCTCGACATCTTCTATGCTGATGACAATGCCATTTATATAACTTCTGTTTTTATCTTGTGGGAACCTCTCTCTGCATGATGAGGTTCAACATGAGACTTTTAACTTTACCTAAAGCTCATCTCCTACATGCGTAGCAGCAGCTGATTCATTAACTTTGTAAGAGAGGAGTGGGAATAATATGATAATTGAATTGGTTACCTTGCATAATGTTCCTCAAATCCATTGTTCCAGTTTAAAAATGACAAAAACGGAGCAAATAAACGATACATATTGCATTTCTACAGTAATGGTTTGAAAATCTAGAGGGACTCAATATGGATGTACATACTCACATACTCAACACTGTGGACAAACCCCACAGGAGCAATTTGGGGTGAAGTGTCTCAGGGACACAACGACATGCTGACTGCAGTGGGGTTTGAACCTGTGCTCCCCTGACCCCAACAACAACGCACTACCCACTGCGCCACAGCCTCCCTTAACATGTGGGAATGTCTTTCTCACGAAAAGCAATATTCATGAATATGGTTTTAAGCTACCCTAAAAGTAAATGAGAAAAACATTCTTTATGCTAGAAATTGTTATAAATTTAGATTACAAGTAAGAATAATAAGAATCAGTGCAGAAGTGAAATGTATCTCAAAAACTGTTGAAAGGATATATGAGGTAGGAAGGTCTAATCTTTTGAAATATCTCAATGTCCTCTAAAAAGAATGGCAAAATAATTGGAACAGACTCTCATGTTGACCTGACCACCATGATGCTGACGTTTGGGGTTTTAAGTCAAATGTCTCTTGGATGGATTGTCCCACATCACAATCCTCTCCCCCCTTGATTAGCCACAGTGTTAACCTGAGAGACTGGAACGTTGCATGGAGGTCAAGTTTGTGTGTAGTGTCTCTACTTTAAAGAGTCCTCTCCTGCTGATGTTCAGGCGTATATCAGTATGTAGTGTCTCTACTTTAAAGAGTCCTCTCCTGCTAATGTTCAGGTGTATATCAGTATGTAGTGTCTCTACTTTAAAGAGTCCTCTCGTGCTGATGTTCGGGTGTATATCAGTATGTAGTGTCTCTACTTTAAAGAGTCCTCTCCTGCTGATGTTCAGGTGTATATCAGTATGTAGTGTCTCTACTTTAAAGAGTCCTCTCCTGCTGATGTTCAGGTGTATATCAGTATTTAGTGTCTCTACTTTAAAGAGTCCTCTCCTGCTGATGTTCAGGTGTATATCAGTATGTAGTGTCTCTACTTTAAAGAGTCCTCTCCTGCTGATGTTCAGGTGTATATCAGTATTTAGTGTCTCTACTTTAAAGAGTCCTCTCCTGCTGGTGTTCAGGCGTATATCAGTATGTAGTGTCTCTACTTTAAAGAGTCCTCTCCTGCTGATGTTCAGGTGTATATCAGTATGTAGCGTCTCTACTTTAAAGAGTCCTCTCGTGCTGATGTTCAGGTGTATATCAGTATGTAGTGTCTCTACTTTAAAGAGTCCTCTCGTGCTGATGTTCAGGTGTATATCAGTATGTAGTGTCTCTACTTTAAAGAGTCCTCTCCTGCTGATGTTCAGGCGTATATCAGTATGTAGTGTCTCTACTTTAAAGAGTCCTCTCCTGCTGATGTTCAGGTGTATATCAGTATGTAGTGTCTCTACTTTAAAGAGTCATCTCCTGCTGATGTTCAGGTGTATATCAGTATTTAGTGTCTCTACTTTAAAGAGTACTCTCCTGCTGATGTTCAGGTGTATATCAGTATGTAGTGTCTCTACTTTAAAGAGTCCTCTCCTGCTGATGTTCAGGTGTATATCAGTATGTAGTGTCTCTACTTTAAAGAGTCCTCTCCTGCTGATGTTCAGGTGTATATCAGTATGTAGTGTCTCTACTTTAAAGAGTCCTCTCCTGCTGATGTTCAGGTGTATATCAGTATTTAGTGTCTCTACTTTAAAGAGTCCTCTCCTGCTGATGTTCAGGTGTATATCAGTATGTAGTGTCTCTACTTTAAAGAGTTCTCTCCTGCTGATGTTCAGGTGTATATCAGTATGTAGTGTCTCTACTTTAAAGAGTCCTCTCCTGCTGATGTTCAGGTGTATATCAGTATGTAGTGTCTCTACTTTAAAGAGTCCTCTCCTGCTGATGTTCAGGTGTATATCAGTATGTAGTGTCTCTACTTTAAAGAGTCCTCTCCTGCTGATGTTCAGGTGTATATCAGTATGTAGTGTCTCTACTTTAAAGAGTCCTCTCCTGCTGATGTTCAGGTGTATATCAGTATGTAGTGTCTCTACTTTAAAGAGTCATCTCTGCTGATGTTCAGGTGTATATCAGTATTTAGTGTCTCTACTTTAAAGAGTACTCTCCTGCTGATGTTCAGGTGTATATCAGTATGTAGTGTCTCTACTTTAAAGAGTCCTCTCCTGCTGATGTTCAGGTGTATATCAGTATGTAGTGTCTCTACTTTAAAGAGTCCTCTCCTGCTGATGTTCAGGTGTATATCAGTATGTAGTGTCTCTACTTTAAAGAGTCCTCTCCTGCTGATGTTCAGGTGTATATCAGTATGTAGTGTCTCTACTTTAAAGAGTCCTCTCCTGCTGATGTTCAGGTGTATATCAGTATGTAGTGTCTCTACTTTAAAGAGTCCTCTCCTGCTGATGTTCAGGTGTATATCAGTATGTAGTGTCTCTACTTTAAAGAGTCCTCTCCTGCTGATGTTCAGGTGTATATCAGTATGTATTGTCTCTACTTTAAAGAGTCCTCTCCTGCTGATGTTCAGGGTTGTATATCAGTATGTAGTGTCTCTACTTTAAAGAGTTCTCTCCTGCTGATGTTCAGGTGTATATCAGTATGTAGTGTCTTCTACTTTAAAGAGTCCTTCCTGCTGATGATCAGGTGTATATCAGTATGTAGTGTCTCTACTTTAAAGAGTCCTCTCCTGCTGATGTTCAGGTGTATATCAGTATGTAGTGTCTCTACTTTAAAGAGTCCTCTCCTGCTGATGTTCAGGTGTATATCAGTATGTAGTGTCTCTACTTTAAAGAGTCCTCTCCTGCTGATGTTCAGGTGTATATCAGTATGTAGTGTCTCTACTTTAAAGAGTCCTCTCCTGCTGATGTTCAGGTGTATATCAGTATGTAGTGTCTCTACTTTAAAGAGTCGTCTCCTGCTGATGTTCAGGTGTATATCAGTATGTAGTGTATCTACTTTAAAGAGTCCTCTCCTGCTGATGTTCAGGTGTATATCAGTATGTAGTGTCTCTACTTTAAAGAGTCCTCTCCTGCTGATGATCAGGAGTATATCAGTATGTAGTGTCTCTACTTTAAAGAGTCCTCTCCTGCTGATGTTCAGATGTATATCAGTATGTAGTGTATCTACTTTAAAGAGTCCTCTCCTGCTGATGTTCAGGTGTATATCAGTATGTAGTGTCTCTCCTTTAAAGAGTCCTCTCCTGCTGATGTTCAGGTGTATATCAGTATGTAGTGTCTCTACTTTAAATAGTCCTCTCCTGCTGGTGTTCAGGACTTTAAAGAGTCCTCTCCTGCTGATGTTCAGGTGTATATCAGTATGTAGTGTCTCTACTTTAAAGAGTCCTCTCCTACTGATGTTCAGGTGTATATCAGTATGTAGTGTCTCTACTTTAAAGAGTCCTCTCCTGCTGATGTTCAGGTGTATATCAGTATGTAGTGTCTCTACTTTAAAGAGTCCTCTCCTGCTGATGTTCAGGTGTATATCAGTATGTAGTGTCTCTACTTTAAAGAGTCCTCTCCTGCTGATGTTCAGGTGTATATCAGTATGTAGTGTCTCTACTTTAAAGAGTCCTCTCCTGCTGATGTTCAGGTGTATATCAGTATGTATTGTCTCTACTTTAAAGAGTCCTCTCCTGCTGATGTTCAGGTGTATATCAGTATGTAGTGTCTCTACTTTAAAGAGTCCTCTCCTGCTGATGTTCAGGTGTATATCAGTATGTAGCGTCTCTACTTTAAAGAGTCATCTCCTGCTGATGTTCAGGTGTATATCAGTATGTAGTGTCTCTACTTTAAAGAGTCCTCTCCTGCTGATGTTCAGGTGTATCAGTATGTTGTGTCTCTACTTTAAAGAGTCCTCTCCTGCTGATGTTCAGGTGTATATCAGTATGTATTGTCTCTACTTTAAAGAGTCCTCTCCTGCTGATGTTCAGGTGTATATCAGTATGTAGTGTCTCTACTTTAAAGAGTCCTCTCCTGCTGATGTTCAGGTGTATATCAGTATGTAGTGTCTCTACTTTAAAGAGTCCTCTCCTGCTGATGTTCAGGTGTATATCAGTATGTATTGTCTCTACTTTAAAGAGTCCTCTCCTGCTGATGTTCAGGTGTATATTAGTATGTAGTGTCTCTACTTTAAAGAGTCCTCTCCTGCTGATGTTCAGGTGTATATCAGTATGTACTGTCTCTACTTTAAAGAGTCCTCTCCTGCTGATGTTCAGGTGTATATCAGTATGTAGTGTCTCTACTTTAAAGAGTCCTCTCCTGCTGATGTTCAGGTGTATATCAGTATGTATTGTCTCTACTTTAAAGAGTCCTCTCCTGCTGATGTTCAGGTGTATATCAGTATGTAGTGTCTCTACTGTGACATGTCTCCATGCTTTAATGTTCAAAAGCTCTTTATTTGACTGTGTTGGAGAGAAACTCAGCTAGTGTGACTTTAAACTCACACACTTGTTCCTCTAAATCTAACCTTATCGATAGATTACCTGGAAACGAACACTATTAGAATCATTTGGCTGAGGTTACTTTATTTCACCAACACAGTAACTCCTTCGACACAATGACCTCATTGGATTGACGACCAAAACCCTACATGTGTCATTTTAATTTAGAAGCAGCGAGAAATTGATGCTGACAGAAAGGAAATATGACACATAGGTCCTGGCTGTTTCTGTATCTTGTAATGTGGATTGTATTCATGGTGATTTGTTGCAGTGACGAATGTCTTTCATGAGAAAAACCATTCAGACTCTTCCAGATAAAGCTCTCTTCCTTCTGCTTCGGTTATATCTAAGTGTTTACCATACAGTGTTTCTGTGTGAGTGCTTTCACACCAAAAGACATGGTCACTCAAACTGAATTGTCTCTTTATCCATGTGACGTATCTGTTGATATCTTAAAGTACCCTACAATAGTCTAATATTCGATCCAAATACATGTTGTCATTATTTTACTAAGTATTTCAATGTGATGAAATTGTGCTGATTCATAATCTGAGTTCCTGAGAATGTATTTGACGTATTTCTTCCTGTCTTGGTAGTTTCCGCCGATTTCACAGCAGAGGAGAAGATGGAGATTGAGAGCATTAAGACGTATAAGGAAGATCTTCTGGATGATATTCAGGTACAAACACTCAGATATCAGGAAATGTATTTGCCATCTAAATAAATTGCTGTTTTCTTTTATAATTATCTTTGATTGTGAGTTTCAATTTGAAGAAAAGGCTTTTC